TTTCTAGGGATCCAGTTTATCTATAATTGTACACCATTTAAGACTTGACTGTATACCTACAAACTCTGTCAAATACTCACCATTTTGAAATTCTATAGAAAATATTGAAGAAAATTAATCTTACAGCACATTTCACTAATATATTTATACATTTATCGCCATTTTACCCAAGGATCCACTGATGGTTTTAATTGAGTCTATAATCATTCATTGTCAACTAAAAAACACATTTGTAGAATGGATGAAATTTGTCAAAATCCCTTATTTAGCCACCGACAGTTTTTGCTGCTTTTACTTTTGTCAAGATGTTTCTAAATGAGCGGAACAAAATTATAAATTATCACAAAAAAGAATACTTGGGTTAAAATTAAAAACAAATCTAAGCAAGATAACCACTTTTATTTTAAGGACTGCTACTCTGTAGAGTAGGAAGGGAGTTACAAATATTCTTTTGCCTTTATTTGCAAAGCGTAAATCGAGAGAATCAGTTAACAACAAAGATTGTGCAGCACCAATATTTTAAATCTGGTGTATCTGTTGTAACTTAGGAAAGGTTAGTGAATACAAATAACCTATACGAAGGTTGGAAATGAAACGATAATATTTATTACAGGAAAGGCATACAAGATTTGCTAGCGGCGTGGAGAAAGTAATCAATTGCTAATGGTGAGCTAGAAATCAATCAAGGTGAATCACAAGTGAAAATATTTATTGCAATTGCATTTATGCACAAATGTGGCACAAGGCCTAAAATGAGAATGGGGTGGGCTGGTCTTTGCTTCTCTTAAAATTAAACTTATCTCGCCACAAACACTGACCTAGACATGCTACAATAACCCTTGCACCAAAACAACACATTCCTACTTACCCTTACTACAACCACCACAATACCTCAGAGATTCTATGAAGTCTTAACTAAACCCCCATATGTACAATTTTCGTCTGTGGGGTGGGGAACACAAAAACAACTTTTAAAAATTTATAAACCCCAATGAATATTTACAAAGATAAAAAGAATTATCACCAACCTTTCGCCAAATTCCAATGGATGGAGAAGTTTCCTTTCCGTCCTAATCTTGACTTTTAAGCAGATGCTTAAGGGACAGGATCAGTTGGGAAGAGGTAAACTTCTCGTCCCCATGGAATTCCTTCTATCGCGTCGTACATATCACGACTCGCATAACACCCAGTAAGCAAAAGAACACATAATGCTCAGCCTTAGTCAACGGTGTTACTGTACTGCTACAGATGGAGCTGGCCTCGAGAACAAAAAACTTTCCGTGCAGAATACGAACCATGATGTCAGCGAACGCAGTTTGGAGATTTTACCAAACGCGCTGAACAAAGTCTTTTGTCGGCCTAGAGGCCTCCTTGAACTACCAGCCGGGTGAGTGATCCCTCAGTATTAGTGAGACATTTCAACCCGGAAGCCCAAGGACATATTCAGCGAGCTTCTGGTTTCATCAGACCGATCTCGCCTATCAAATGATCCTGAACGCCCTCATCCTAACACCTGATATAATGCATTACGGGACAACGGCTGGATATCGGAGAGGCCATCCGTTGTCCCTAAGAGGTACTTGAGTGCAAGCCGACATTCACAATGGAAGGAGCACTCGTGTTTGTGTAATCTGCAGGCTTCCTCGTCGCACGAGCGTACACTTCTGAAAGATAGAAAGTTCTTGCGTGAGTATTCCTTCCAGAATTCGTCATACACATCCGATCTAGGTAAGAAATGCGATGCGTATGTTGACAAATCTCAACGCAAGGCACCCCAGAGACCGCCTTTAGAAGGGTGGAGGCAACAGATTCGCGGTTCACCTTGGTAGACTTGCCTCCCCACAAGAAGGAGAACAAGAGCCATACGAATGCCAATAAAGTGTCAGACGGGAGTGAAAGTACGGAGAGTCGGCAAAGGAGAATCGGGAAAATGTACGAGGCACATACTCCCGCTCTTCGCTTCAAGGAAAGATTCCTCCAGGACCAGAGACGAACCTCCAACCAGTTCATTTCCAACAGGAAATCGGAACTGAACCAGACGCCGGCCCATCCGTCCAGAGGAAAGATCCGAGAAGAGAAACTTCCCTCCACAAACACAACCGCAAGCCAACAGATTTATCGCGCTTGATCTTGGTTCCTGTCACCATCTCATAGCCTGTGATTTCTCTGCTGCCTTCGTCAATTTCGGCCCTGCTCGACACAAGAACCGAAGCGTCATCAGCATAGGTGAAGTACCTGTCCGAGGTGGTAGCACTAGGTAGGGAAATTCCGCAAAGGCGAAAGTGAACAACCTTGACGAATGGAGCGAGAAAAAATGTAGGTTTTCTATTTTACCTCATTCCCTCTACCAGCGCACCGGGGGAGGCATACGGATATTGGATCCAAGTGCGAAAGTACGACCCGAATTTGGTAGCCGAAAGGACAGCCTCCAGAAATTGATGGTCAACCCTATCGAAAGCCTTGAACTGAACAAAATTGATCAGCGTGGCATCACTGTCGATTTGCTCGATGATCAAGCGTACCAAATGAAGGTTGCCCTTCACAGCCCAAGTTTGCTCAGGACCAATCAGACAAGGGAGGGCAACCTCCAAACGGCCGGCTCAGACCTTGGCTAAAATTTTCAACTCGTGTTTAACATCGTCAAAGGTCGATAATTACCTATCCCATCCCCACCGTTTTTGTTCTTGTAAACCAACTTGGTCACACCCCTAGTGAAGCGTTGAGGTATAGACTCCTGCTTCATCCAGTTGTTGTAAATCAGTGCCAGGAAGGGGAAAAACATGTACGACTGCCTCAAAAACATTTCGTAAGGAAAACCATCTAATCCCGGAGTTTTGTTCAGGTTAACCTGCTTCAGCGTATCGCAGATTGGTCAGGATAACTTGCTTCAGTGTATCCTAGATCTCAGACTCTGTAATGTGGGACCCTCACACCCAGCCGCTTCAGCAGCCTCGAGGCGGGGATAGTCGGCCAAATAAGCATCTATCTTAGCACGGTTCAGACCGTGAGCCCTGGTAAAAAGCTCCTGAAAGTAATCACGAAAAACCTCAATAATGCCCACGTCTCTCGTTACAGTCTACTTGTCCATCAATGTGATGCTCGTGATATCCGACTGGATGCACTTTGAACTTCCTTTGCACGCAATTCAGCGGCCATATTCCTTGCCTGTCAAGACATTCTTTTTAGTCTAGCCTTACCTACGAGAGCTTGATCCTTCTTGATAAGCAAGGAGGCCAACTCCGCCTTAGCTGCGTCCCCGAGAATCGCAGGATTTGATCACCCGATCTAATTTCTCTTCACACAACTTTTGCTCTACTAATCCTGCTTGATTGAGTCAGCGACTAAAATCAGCAGCAAAAGACCTAAGTTTAGATTTTAAACAATCCCATCACTTATTCCCAACAACAGCCCCCACCTTCAATTCCGGCTGTAGCATTAGTAGAAGCTGGTAACAGAAATCTTGTTCACCAAATAATGATGCGTTCAATTTCCAGTAACCAGCCATCTTAACCTTAGGCTTATCTAAGTTTACACGAACCCGGACAAGTTTATGATCCGAGTAAACTATATAACGGAAATTTGGACAACCTAAAAGCCCTACGTCGACTCTCTTAACTAGAACTCGGTCGATGTAGCTTGAATGTTCCACCTTATCCGAGTTGTCGTCCTGGGCGTGCTCATTTCAGTACTTATCGACAAGATGAAACCCGTCGATAAAGTCCCGAAACGGCTTAACATCCGGGTTGTTAGTACCCGTTTTTTGCCCTATACGATCTATATCGAGATCAAGGACGGCATTCCGATCACCCGCTAGAACTATCGAACGAGATGTCATCAAAAATGGCTAGATCCACCGAAACAAATCAGGCCACCTTTGCATTGTCATTGGGCGCCTAAACCCCAATGAGATGAAGGGCCTTCTCCTTTAGGGTAATATCCAGCACGCAAAGCCTGCCTCTCGGATCCGTGAAGACAAGGGCACACGCCGCATCCATAGACTTGCTCACTAGCCAAGAAAACACCTCTCGAGTGTCCATCAAAATATGCTGAATAAAGGAGAAACCTCTTAGACAGAATGTTTTCACGGTTGCGTGTTAAAAACCGGGTTTCCTGCCTCACCCTTCGAAACTCCGACCTCAGGCCCCGGGCATTCAAAGCTGTTAAACAGAGAACCATTATCAGACCAATTTCGGGTTGAGAAACTGGATTGAGTATAGTCAGTGTAAGGATATTGACAGCCTCCTCCATTGACTCATGGCCCATCTCATTCTTGATAGTGACGTCCCGATATATAAACTGCAATGACCAATCAAAATACAAGTATATGAGAATTCAAAAATTTGACAACGAACCTTGGTTATAATAATTAATGCTTTAATGTTAGGGTTAGACTAAAATAGAAATCATTCTAATTAATTAATATTAAATTTTACTATAAAATTGAAAATTAAAAATTACCAATTTAAAGTTTTTTAATCTGTATTAATTTTGAAATATTATAAAATTATTTAAAAAAGAAACTGAGGATAAAATACATATTTTATTATTTATTTTCTTTTAATTGAAAGGCCAAAAGAATAAACGTTACTGTTAATTATTTAAGAAATTGTTAATTAAACGTTTTAGAAATTGTTTAGTAATTCGTTAGTATTAAGATTACTGAATATTTTAGTTATTATAAAAAAAATTTTCCAAATTAATTTGTTTTCTTTGCTTAACTGTATTTAATTTTTTCATTTTTAGATGGTGAAAAGAACAGAATAAATTTTGCAGAGTTATGAGTTTATAAATACACGAGAGCCAATCAAGTGTGGCCATATTTTAAAATTTTTTTTTGATAAATATGGATCTTTCGTGAAGATTGCAGAATGGGCCACCCAGCAGAATTCACCAAATTGTTTCCCTCCTATTTCGAAACATTCAGTTGGGAGAATTTTCTGAATGTTACAAGAAAAGAAATTTTGGAGGTAATTTCTCTGATTTCAAAAAAAAATGTGAAGTGGTGGTCCAATCTGCTATTCATTCTTCTTCTGCCACATCTTCCATTGCCTCTTCCACTGCCATCCCAGTTGAAACTTCAAATGTGTCTGCTGCAGCTTCAACCCTGTCTGCTGCAGCTTCAACCCTGTCTGCTGCAAGGTTTAACATTTATGCTGCAACCTCAATCCTGTCTGCTGCAGCTTCAACCCTGTCTGCTGCAAGGCCTAACCTTTCTGCTGCAACCTCAATCCTGTCTGCTGCAACTTCAACCCTGTCTGCTACAACTTCAACCCTGTCTGCTGCAACTTCAACCCTGTCTGCTGCAAGGCCTAACCTTTCTGCTGCAACCTCAATCCTGTCTGCTGCTACTTCAACCCTGTCTGCTACAACTTCAACCCTGTCTGCTGCAACTTCAACCCTGTCTGCTGCAAGGCCTAACCTTTCTGCTGCAACCTCAATCCTGTCTGCTACAACTTCAACCCTGTCTGCTACAACTTCAACCCTGTATACTGCAACTCAAAGCCCATCTAAAAGTTCAGACCAATGTTGTGAAACATCTGCCATTCCTTTGTCATGCGAAAAACGTTAAAAAAAATCAAAAAATTTCATCACTTTCAAAAAAAAAGAAGAACTTAAAAACAAAAGATTCCAGTTCTTTCGTTAACAGGAAACTCCATTATGACTGTCTTTTGAATGGAGTTCCTGCTTCTCATGCTTCCAGTGTGGTTACAGCAGTTTCAAGAACTTTATCCTTGGATCACTGCTCTTTCGGAAAAAATACTACGACAGTTTATAGAATGGTGGGGGAGCTTGGCCCTCTTTCAGATGTGAAGACGTTCTTTGCTGTGCAAAGTGCAGAAAACTGCACTTTAGTTTTCGACTTAACAACACAAGATGGCAAAGATGTGAACTGTGTTTTGTTAACAACTCCTTCAGCCGCCCATCTTGTGTCACTGGAACGTCTTCCTGGAGGAACTGCTATGGACTACAAGCAGCATATTTGTGACTTAGCTAAAGCAGGCTCATCGTCTACTGGCATAAGTGTTGATACCAGTTTGCAAATCATCTTTTGAAAATTAAATGCTGCTTGACAGACTGGGCTCCTGTTAACCATTTGACAGTGTCATTATTGGAAAAGGAGTGGCAGATAAACCTTATAGAGCTGCATTGCAACTTACACCCATTGGAGACAGTGGCAACAAAAACGAGGAAGGTCCTGAGTGATTGCAAGGAAAATGTGAATGTGAGTGAGTGTCTAGCATGGCGAATTCTTGCAGGATTGAATTCCTTGAGATATAGTGATAAATTGGGCCTTATTCCAAAAATGAAGGCCTTTATTGAACAACAAGGTCTTCCATGGTCCAATATCACTAGATTTCAAGGGAATCAGTTGCATGTAATTTTTCATCTAGGTGCAACTTACTTTCCCATTTTCGCTCAATGTAGGCAATTTGTTTTGGGACTTTCCTCAACAAATAAAACTGTACAAAAACTACAAAAAATAATAATGGAAGAAGCTGATATTGTTGAAATGCAAGTGCTGGGAATCATAGGGAAGATGCTATTGGGACCTTGGATGAGTACCTTCTATACTAGTGTTGACAACCAAAAAGACCCCGTTGACACTATGAACATTGTCAAGGGAGTTATTGAAAATGTGAAAGTACTCATCAACAACCCTATGTCAATTTTCGCCTCCACAACAGATTTCTTTGGAAATACCCTTCCAGAGAATGTTACAGCATCCCTACTGATTGCCCCAGCAAATGAACACTTATTTTGCAACATGATAACTGCCTGCTTGAAAGTGATTGTGGAGGTTTTAAGCAGGCAGTATGAAAAAAAAACATTCAAGACAGTAGAGGCTTCGCCAAGAAGTCTATTAACATCAGTGAGACAGCACACCATGCTCGCTGAAAGCATCATCGGTGAATTTTGTGAAAGACAGAAACTTGCACCTAATGCTTATGTATCAAGCATAAGTGATGTTATAAAGGCCAAGCGGAATCGAGTAAGGAAATTCATCGATGAGCTGGATGCTGAGCAGTTCCATCGTTATATACCGTGTACACTAATGTACGGCAGACAAAGGACAAATCTAAAGAAAAAGCAGCAACTAGAAGTTCAGTAAGAAATTTTCAAAAGGTTGAAAATTAAAGAAGACCAGCAGCAAAAAAAGAAAAGGGCTGACGTGTAAAAAAAAAGTGAAACAGCTAACCATTGATTCTTTGGAAGATAACTTTCCTGAACAGGGACAAGTCCTGAAATAAATACTAACTGGAAATATAGTTGGACGAACAATTAAACATATTTAGACAATTGATGGTATCAACTGTGAGTACATCGGTTACGTCAAAAAATATGAAAATCATTTTTATATGATTTCATATGTTGATGATGTAACTGATTACTATAATTTGACCAAATACGAAGTTGGCGCTGATTATGTTTTACAGGAATTGCATTTCGAAAGTTAGCTCTGCAATGGTGACGAAGGAAGAGGCAATAAAAGTTAAAAACGGCCCTTTTTAGGGCCACAAAATATTTCTGAAAGTCTTTTCACCATTATAGATAACAGCGATTTGTAATAATTTGGATTAAAATAATAAAAGATTGAACATTTATCTAATAAAAAAAAAGTTTAAAGAATTATCTGATTAATTAATAAAGTGCAAAGAATTATCTAAATAAAAAAAAGTTTAAAGAATGATCTGATTAAAAAAACAGTTTAAAGAATTATCTAATTAATAAAGTTTAAAGAATTATCTAAATAAAAAAGTTTAAAGAATTATCTAAATAAAAAAGTTTAAAGAATTATCTAAATAAAAAAGTTTAAGGTATTATCTAAACAATAAAGTTTAAAGAATTATCTAAATAATAAAAAAGTTTAAAGAATTATCTAAATAAAAAAAATTTTAAAAATTGTTTAAAAAAATAAAAAAGTTTAAAAAGAAGTTTTAAGAATTATCTAAATAAAAAAAGTTTAAAGAATTATCTAAATAATAAAAAATTTAAAAGAATTATCTAAATGATAAAAAAAAGTTTAAAAAATTATCTAATTAATAAAAAAAAATAATTATTAGATAATTCTTTAAACTTTTTTTATTAATTAGATAATTCTTTTAAATGTTTTATTATTTAGATAATTCTTTAAACTTTTTTTTTATTAGATAATTTTTTAAACTTTTTTTTATTAATTAGATAATTCTTTAAACTTTTTTATTAGTTATATAATTCTTTAAACTTTTATTTTTTAATTAGATAATTCTTTAAACTTTTTTATTTAGATAATTCCTTAAACTTTTTTTTCCGTTATTAATTAGATAATTCTTTAAAAGTTTTTATTATTTAAATAATTCTTTAAACTTTTATTATTTAGATAATTCTTTTAAACTTTTTTTATTATTTACATAATCTTTTAAAAAATTTTTTTATTTAGATAATTCTTTAAACTTTTTTTATTAATTAGATAATTCTTTAAAATTTTTTTATTATTTAGCTAATTCTTTAAACTTTTTTTATTTAGTTAATTCTTTAAACTTTTTTATTATTTAAATAATTCTTTAAACTTTTTTATTATTTAGATAATTCTTTAAACATTTATAATTTATAATAAAAAACAATAAAGAATTATCTAAATAAAAAAAAGCAAAAGAATTATCTAAATAATAAAAAAAGTTTAAGGAATTATCTAAATAATAAAAAAAAAGTTAAAAGAATTATCTAAATAAAAAAAATTTAAAGAATTATGTAAATAATAAGGAAAATGTTTAAAGAATTATCTAAATAATAAAAACTTTTTTTTTATTGATTAGATAATTCTTTAAACTTTTTTATTAATTAAATAATTTTTTAACTCTTTTTTATTAATTAGATAATTCTTTTAAATTTTTTTATTTAGATAATTTTTTAAAGTTTTTTTAGATAATTCTTTAAACTTCTTTTTATTTAGATAATTCTTTAAACTTTTTTATTAATTAAATAATTCTTTAAAATTTTTTGTTATTTAGATAATTCTTTAAACTTTTTTTTATTATTTACATAATTCTTTAAACATTTATAATTTATAATAAAAAAAAGTTTAAAGAATTATCTAAATAATAAAAAAAAAGTTTAAAGAATATACCTTAGTCACACTGGGGGCACTGCCATATCCAACCGTCTGAATATCCGACGTGGAATCTTTCAAGGAGACTCTCTGTCACCCCTTCTGTTTTGTTTATCCTTAATCCCTCTTACACATGAACTGAACAACAGTAGCTATGGTTACAAAATAAATAAGAAAATACTCAATCACCTACTCTACATGGATGATCTCAAACTCTTTGCCAAAGACAACAATGAGTTGAAAGGCCTCCTCAATATTGTAAAATACTTCAGTGAAGACATAGGTATGGACTTCGTATGAGATAAATGTGCAAAAGTAACATTCAAGAAAGGTAGAATTACAGAAACACCCTTAATAGATTTAGATTTTGTCACAAAGATTAGGGAACTGGAGCATGGTGAAGCTTATAAGTACCTAGGAATTAGCGAAGGAGATGGCATACAACACCCCCAAATGAAGGAAAAAAATAAGAAAAGAGTACTACAGGCGTGTACGTCTGTTACTAAATACCGAGCTGAACTCAAAAAACAGAATATCGGCCATAAACACCTTGGCTGTCCCTGTGGTGCAATACAGCTTTAATGTCCTTAACTGGACCATAGCTGAAATTAAGCGAATGGACGCCAAAACGAGAAAGCTATCGCATGCATCATCCCAAAGCTGATGTTGATCGTCTGTATGTGCTCAGATCCGGAGGAGGCAGAGGATTAGTTCAACTAGAACTGTCCTACAAAACTACAACAATTGGCCTCCAAAAATACTTGGAAACTACAGAAGACTGGATGATGGTATGCGTCAAGGAACATTAAAGTAGCAAGCGTCTTTACTCCGTAATGAAAGAAGCCAACAAATTCAAAATGGAGTTTCAAATGGGCGTAGAGATGCAACTACAGCACAATACACCGGCTGAAACTGCAAAATACCTAAAAAAGACAGCAAAGACAAATGCAACCGACCAGATACAGAAGCGATGGCAAGATAAACCGCTTCATGGCCAATACTCTGCCCGTACCAAACAAGCTGACGTAGTGGCTACATAGTGCAGGGATGAAAGCTGAAACTGAAGGTTTTATCCTTGCTGCGCAGGACCAATGCTTGCAAACTAGGAATTATCAAGCATAATATACTAAAATATTGTGTTAGCCCAAAATGCAGATTCTGTGATAAATATCCAGAAACGATTGATCATCTTGTATCAAGTTGCACGATATTGGTACCCACTGAATATAAAACCCGGCATGACAGAGTGGACCAATATCTGCACTGGAAAATCTGCAACTTCTACGGGAAGGAAACTGAAAAAAAAAAACTGGTATGAATACCACCCAGACCCGGTTACTGAGATAGGACCTGTTACAATTCTATGGGACTACACAATACACACTGACAGAACAATCAAAGCCAACCGACCAGATATTGTTATTAAAGACCACAAACAAAAACGGTGCCTCCTTATTGATATGGCAGTCCCTGCTGACTGC